TGCAAGAAGTAATTGGGCAAGCTTTTGAAGATGATGATTTGATAGTTTACATGCGGCCCACCAGGTTTCTGGAAGTTCAAGATGATCTTGAAAAAAAAATCATATAGAGATTTTTGAAGATCATAATTATGAATTTGTGCAACTAATTCCTGTGTACTATTTTCTCTACCACCTTGTAACTTCCAGATATTTAAAGCTTTTCAAAGAACTTTTTGAAATATTTCAGAAGCTAAGCCTTTATCACAGTATTTAGGATGAAGAAAAAAAGCTAATAAATAAAAGTCAGTATCAAATTCATTTCATCTTTTGTTATAAAAAATAATACACTTTTTTCAAAACTCAAGTCTTTCAAGAGTTGTTTCCATAGTTGGCATGGCTTTAATTGTGATAGCTATTTTAATCAAAGTTAAAAACACATCAGCAACCTTAATATTAGATGATTCAACTGTTTTAACTACCGTTTTAACTAGTTCAAGAACTTTATAAAAACATTTAACATTGGCCCAAAATTCATGACTTGTAATATAATTTTTTAATTTTTCACTAAATAATTGAGGATTATCTTTAGCAATCTAAAAAAAAATACTGTAAAATAAAAAAAAAATAATAATAATATTAATAAATATTATCATGCTTTTCAAATTACTGTATCCACTGATTTTCATACATTATACTGAAAATCAGAAATCTAGAATAAATATAAATCTGTAATTAGTTTAAAATAATTTTTAGCTAATTATATATTGGCATTTTTTCTAGATTTCTGATTCCCAGTGTGATGTATAAAAATTAGCAAACACAGTAATTTGAAAAGTACAATAAATAAAAAAAAACTTACATTTCATAAAACAGGCTCTAATTTTAACAATAAATCATAGCAATTCCATGCAGAGCACTATCTAGTTTTAACTGAAGATTTCAAGCTTCTACTTTTAATAAATAAATTTATAATTTTATCTCTTAACTTAGTACCAGAACTATGCAAATTCTAAAAATAGATAACAAATTCTTGATATTTTAAAAGAACTTGTGATTCAAATAAGGTTTTTTTAATAATATCTGTTATTATTAGTTGAATATGGTAGGCAATGCATCGAATTGGCATAATATATAGATATTTTTGAGCAACCAGAGATTTTGCCAATTGTATTGCTGTTGTGCCATCTGACATAACAGCACGA